ACCTCGTGATCCACCCGCCTCGGCCTCCCAAAGTGCTGGGATTACAGGCTTGAGCCACCGCGCCCGGCCCCTAGTTTGCATTTTTAAGATAAAATTTTTGCCATGCTGGATATATTAGAGTAACTATTATGTACTTCAGTTTCTCAATTGTTAAATGAACTTATTAGAAATACTACCTTATAGAATTTTGAGGATTAAATGAAATAATCTTCTGAGCACAACAAATATATCATCAGCACAACAGCTAGCTCTGTTGAGTCTTTATTATTATAACAGTAGTAATAGACTTGGAAGGGGTGAAAGAGAACAAGAGTCCATTTTATTTTTGCGGCATATGTACAATAGCTCATTAAGATCCTGGATTATTTAGATGCCATGTTAAAACTTGACAAAAACTAGAAATGTTGTGAGTGTGCAATAGCAGATAATAACTAATTCATTTATTAATTCTTGAATTTGATATTCAGAAAACAGACTTAACTTCATCTATTGCCAGTTATTGTCACAGAATCTATTGGAATTTCCGTTAGGGCACTACAGTATAGTAGTGTGACTTTCAAAAGTGAGATATTTTATGTGGCTTTTTAAAGTAGATTTCCAAAGGCTCTAAAACACATGACAAGGATATTATGAGTCAGGAATAGCGTTTTGTGAGGACTCTTGAGAAAACGTTGCTGTGTCCCCTCCACCATGGTATAAGTGGAGGTTACTCTCACTTGTTCTCCTACTTGGGATCTCTCTTTGTTCTCTCACTTGGTATCAAGTGAGAGGGGCTTGAGAGGGACCACTTAAGAGATTTAAAATTCTCCCCAGTTGCAGGTAACAGAGGAGGACCAGGGTCTGACTCTTCAAGACATCCAACAAGGATGGGCTGGCTTACTGTTTCCACAGAAAGAACTATACTAAAGGTGGCTGTGTTGAATTTGCCTATACTGCAGCCTTTGTCAGGGCAAAGGAAGTATATTTCCTGCAGGTTAGAGGTGGGCCTAGTGGAGGACAGGGGTAACTGGAGTTTGACTCCTGTTCCAATAGATGCCTAAAAGAGCAGTGAGGTTTCAACAGTGAGTCTTTTGAATTACAGCCAAAAAGCCAGGAGAAGAACGAATTATCTAAGTCAGCGGAGCAATGGCCAGAAGGAATTCTGAGGTGAGATCTGAATAACCCATGAAAGTGCATCTGAGAAAAAAGAGTTAGCTTCAAACATCAGCAGACAGGTCTTTTGGCAGGAAGGCCCAGGTTGGTATCTTTTTGCCTTTCTTCCCCAGCCTCCCTGTCTCCCATGCCTATCTTGGAAAGATCTGACAGCTAGGGTTGGGAAAAGTCCTGGAAGAGAAGAGAAGAGAAGCATCTGATTTCATTCCCTTCCCAGCTTCCCTGGGGCTGGGGAAAAGATTTGATTAACTTGTAAAGATTGGTTTGTTATCTAAAATGACCATAGGCCTTTCTGTATTTTTACATTGGCCGAAAGAATCAAATGAGCCTGCTGAAGTGGTCATCTAGTGACAAAGGAAATTTTTTCCCCACTGAATAAATTTTAAGAAGACAGTCAAGACAAGAAGCTGTACTTGATTATATCCTGTTAGTGGTTATTCAATAGACATATAAGTCTGTAATTTTTAATATTTGGTATAGCAGTAGATTGAAATCCACAGTAATTTACAAAAATCTGTGCAGTGGTTTTCTTTCCTTTTCTTTCTTTCTTTCTTTTTCTTTTTTTTTTTTTTGGAGATGGAATCTCATTCTGTTCCCGAGGTTGGAGTACAGTAGAGCAACCTTGGCTCACTGCGGCTGCCACCTCCCAGGTTCAAGCAATTCTTGTGCCTCAGCCTCCTGAGTACCTGGGATTACAGGCATGAGCCACCACGACCAGATAATTTTTGTATTTTTAGTAGAGATGTGGTTTCTCCATGTTGGCTAGGCTGGTCTTGATCCTGACCTCAGGTGATCTGCCTGCCTCGCCTCCTAAAGTGCTAGGATTGCAGGTGTGAGCCACCAGGCCTGGCCAAGGTATTTTTTCTTGAAAATACCTTCACTCATGTAAGCAATATATGCAACATAAGAATATGCTTTTGGTTTCTTGATGTGGCTAGTATTTAGTGTTGGCCCCTTAATTATAAAAGTGCCTTTATCTAAAAGTAGATGTTAGTTGTCAGGCAATGTTCACTGTAAAAAATAAATAAATACAAAATAAAAGTAGATGTTAGGATGTTTTATTCTAGCCTGCCTAGTATTTGTATTAGATTGTTTCTTAAATATAATAGGTGTCTAAATTTTTTGAATGGGATTAAATTATTAGAAATTAGTAAAATTTTTATATAAGGTAGTAGACTAAAAAATTCTTACTAGGCTGGGTGTGCTGGCTCACTACTATAATGCCAGCAATTTGGGAGGCCAAGGTCAGCCAATCCCTTTAGCCCAGGAGTTTGAGGCCAGCCTGGGCAACATGGCAAAATCTTGTCTCTACAGAAAATACAAAAATTAGCTAGTGTGATGGCACATGCCTGTAGTCCCAGCTACTCAGGAGCCTTAGGTGGGAAGATGAGTTGAGCCCAGAAGGCAGAGGTTGCGGTGAGCCAAGATTGCATCAGAGCACTACAGCCTGGGTGACACAGTGAGATCCTGTCTCATTAAAAAAAAGAAAATTTAACTTGTCTCAAGCAGTCCCATATTGTAAAGTTCTTCATGTCTTGGTTGGATTATACTAATTTATTTGGCCAATCAGCTGCTTCCTACTGTGTACTTCTGAATCCCTATCACCACCATCTGCGTCAAGATGACAGTGTTTACACAGTCTCTTCATTGTAATTTAAGATTATAGTCTGCTTTCTGGTGAGGGAAGAAATGAAATAGAAATATGGCTGACTGACTGGGCCATGGCTCATGCCTGCAATCCCAGCACTTTGGAGGCTAAGGTGGGAGGACTGCTGGAAGCCAGGAGTAGCCAGGACCAGCTTGAGTAACAAACGGAGACCCTGTCTCTACAAAAGAAACACAAAAAAAGAAATATAACTGACTAAAATACATATAATTTTTATAATAATTTAAAATATAAGAAAGCAAAAAATTATTGGGCTCAAGGCAGGCAATCACTTAACCCCAAGAGTTCAAGACCATCCTGGGCAACATGGTGAAACCTTGTTTCTACAAAAAACACAAAAATTAGCCAGGCATGGTGGTGCATACCTGTGGTTCCAGCTGTTTAGAAGATTGTGGTGGGAAGATTGCTTGAGCCTAGGCTGCTGAGATAGCAGTGAGCTGAGATTGCACCACTGCACTCCAGCCTGGGCAATGGAGCAAGACCCTTTCTAAAAAAAAAAAATGCAAAAAATTATTAGTATGGTAAAGCTTCATTTGGACTTAATGAAATTCTTTACTAAGAAATGATCATTTGCATAGGGCTTAACTTGCTTTACTAAGAAAATAGAGTAGTATGTAAGGAGACTTCCAGAGCTGCATGTGCTTATGTACCAGATGCTGAGGTTTATATACATTTTCTCTAATCCTAACAATTCTGGAAAGGTATGTGTTTGATCCATTTTCAAGATAAGAAAACTCATTCAGAGGGGAAGTAACTTGACCAAAGATATGTTGTAGTCAGAGCTGGGACCATGACTCATGTCTGTTTTTTCCACAGCCCATTTTCACTTAGGTTCCATTAGTTTATTACGCTTTTTTAGAAGAATTTACAGACTTGATATCCTCAATGAAGTCAGATCACTCATTTCTTTGGCATAAAATTATGATTATTTGTATTTAATATTTCATTCGTTCTTGTTGGTTTTCATATGGAATATTACTTCTGAGTCTTAATTTTTTATTGTGAAATATACGTTCAGAAAAGAAGATTTAACATGTGTGGTTTTATAAACATTTATAAAATAAATACACAGTGTCTATTATCCAGGTCAGCAAATGTTCTACTGGTATATGAGTCAATTTCCACGGCAAAAAACTAAGCTTAGGCACGATGCACATGATCACTCCTTTTTTTTTTTTTTTTTTTTTTCTTCTGAGACAGAGTCTTGCCCTGTCACCCAGGCTGGAGTGCAATGGCATGATCTCGGCTCACTGCAACCTTCACCTCCTGGGTTCAAGTGATTCTCCTACTTCAGCCTCCCACGTAGCTGGGATTATAGGTGTGTGCTACTATGCCAGCTAATTTTTTTGTATTACTAGTAGAGATGGGGTTTCACCATGTTGGCCAGGCTGGTCTCGAACGCCTGACCTCATGATCCCCCCACCTCAGCCTCCCTAAGTGCTGGGATTACAGGTGTGAGCCACTGTGCCTGGCTGCACATGATCACTTCTTAACTGGTGGGTCCAAATGGTTATCATTTCCGTTATCCTGATTTCAAATGTCATTATTTCTTTGCAGTTTGACCACCTATATATACACTCCTAAATATATCTCTTTGTTTTTTCAATGAATTTTTTCCCATAGATTAGAAGTTGCTTGAAACCACAGATAGATATTGACATAGAGATTAACAGTGCTAAAGTTACAGGGGAATGTTTAATTTATTTGAAAGTACAAACCTTTCAAGACTTTGATTAAACACATAAAATTGCTATCCTGATTACAATTAGTATTAGCCATTGCGTTGAGCTATGATTTCAATCTAATTTATTCCAACTTTCCCCCTAGTTGTCAATCTGGGTAATATCTTTTCTGCATTATATTTTTCTACATCCTAGGCAACATAGTGAGATCTCATCTCTACAAGTAATTTTTTAAAAAAATTAGCCAGGCATGGTGGCATGCGCCTATAGTTCCAGCTACTTGGGAGCCTGAGGCTGGAAGATCACTTAAGCCCCAGAGGTCGAGGCTGCCGTGAGCCGTAATCATATCACTGTGCTCTAGCCTGGATGAGAGAGTGAGATCCCATCTCAAAATAACTAAAAATGAAAATGTTTCTAAATGTGTATTACGTCCAGTGGAATAAGTACAAATACAGTTTACCATGTCATAATTCCTCCCACCCTTTTCCCCTCTTTTACAGCATGGGTAGGTTCTCTCTCCATGGGAATGATTTTCTTCTGCTGTCCAATAGTCAGCGTCTTCACAGACATATTTGGTTGTCGGAAAACAGCTGTCGTGGGTGCTGCTGTTGGATTTGTTGGGCTCATGTCCAGTTCTTTTGTAAGGTAAGGACTTGGTTTTATCATGTTGCTTTTTGAAAACTGCTAGATACCTTAAAGTTTTACTTTCAGAAACTCTGCTATTTACAAGCAAAGATCCTTTTCATTTCTTAAACCTCTAAGCAGTTGACTTATAAATCAAACTGTTATCCATAGAGCATATCAGAGCTTGAGAATTTGAATGCTTTTTCTTTTAATGCCTAAGACTTGGACATCAATCAGAATGTATGTGTTTTCTGGTACATAGAAGAATGTTTCACCTTATCTTTTTCATCTACAGTATTTACATAAAAATACTAAAGGCACTCAAGTTATAACAATGAGTTATCTAAAACAGTGGCCTTAGTTTAAGATCAGCTCAGTCTGAGGCCCAAGGGTTACAGTAAGTGGTGTTTTAAAGTAGCTGTTCATAGGCTTCAAATGAATTTTTTTTGATTAATGAGACCAAAACTCTGCCATTTATTCCAACTCAGGTAGAGAATTCTTGTCGGTTCTTTAAAAAAAGAACATGCTAAAATTTTAAAATATCTGGCTGGGTGCGGTGGCTCACACCTGTAATCCCAGCACTTTGGGAGGCCGAGGTGGATAGATCACAAGGTCAGGAGATGGAGACCATCCTGGCTAACAGGGTGAAACCCCGTCTCTACTAAAAATACAAAAAAATTTGCCGGGCGTGGTGGCGTGCGCTTGTTGTCCCAGCTACTCGGGAGGCTGAGGCAGAGAATTGCTTGAATCCAGGAGGTGGAGGTTGCAGCGAGCCAAGATTGTACCACTGCACTCCAGCCTGGGCCTGGGTGACAGAGCAAGATTCTTGTCTCAAAAAATAATAATAATAATTTAAAATATCATGGCAAAATAAAGTGGTCCAAGATACCTTAGAATAAAACTTAATGTCAATGTACTTTTTGTGTATTTATTAGAATAGGGGTCTCCAGCCCCCATGTCAAGGACCGGTGCAGGTCCATGGCCTGTTAGGAAATGGGCTGCACAGCAGGAGGTGAGCTGTCGGTGAGCAAGTGAAGCTTCATCTGTATTTATAGCTGCTCCCCATCACTTGCATTACTGCCTGAGTTCTGCCTCCCATCAGATCAGTGGCGGCATTAGATTCTCATAGGAGTGCAAATCCTATTGTGAACTGCACATAGGAGGGATCTAGGTTACACTCCCCTTATGAAAATCTAAATGATCTGATGATCTGTTTTACTTTCTCCCATCACACCCAGATGTGACTGTCTAGTTGCAGAAAAACAAGCCCAGGGCTCCCACTGCTTCTACATTATGATGAGTTGTATAATTATTTCATTATGTATTACAATGTAATGGTAATAGAAACAAAGTGCACACTAAATGTAATGCACTTGTATCACCCCTAACCACCCTCCCCCGGCCTTATCCATGGAAAAAATTTTTCCTGAAACTTGTCTCTGGTGCCACAAAGATTGGGGACTGCTGTATGAGAAGAAAAGACACAATGCACTGAAGAGGGACTAACTGTAAGGAGCAGATGGGCACATAACTGTATGGAACACCTCTCCCTGCAGCTCTAGTTCTAGTAAGTTCCTTGCATTGGTAGAATAATCCTCAGTTAGAGGAACACTGACTTAATATGTAGCTCCAGCTAAGAGGAGGTGATGAAGAAGAAAACCTTTTAAGATTATTTCCATCCTTCGTCTCTACTTTAGTGGTTTATCTTCATTTCCTCTTTCCTGTCCCTAGCTATCTTCATGTTGCTTTAGTTGAAAAGCATTAATATAGTCATTAAGGAAAAATAAGTCAAATTTACATTTGACTTTTTATTTTTAAATATTTAATCAACAGAATCCTTGGCTTTACTCATTGCCACCCCCACCCGCCAACACACATCCCTTCCTCAACTCTAACGTGAGCCTCATTCTTTCATACTTTCTGCCACCTAATTTAAAAATCCTATTTGGATTTTTAAAAATTATGTTTATTTCCTGGTAGAAAATAGATAATTCGTCTTTAAAGTACATTTATTTTTTTTTCTTCTGAAATTTTTTTTAAAGAAAAAAATTTTGTTTGGAATAAGATTCTGTTTAGGTAAATCCATGAGGTTTATTTTAGCAGCAACATAATACTGTGTTATTAATGCCTCATTAGATAACTTCTTTGATCTGGAAGCGTCCAGGTACCTGTTGTCAGTACCTGTGGCCCTACCACTTTGCTGAATGTATTACAACTCCAGTTGTGGTAGAGAGGGAACTGAGAGGTAGACAGCTTATGTAATCTACTACCTAGTTTGTTAACAAAACACACATACAAAGCAATGTTTTTCAAATTTTTCTGACCACTGAGCAATAAATATTATGATACGTATTTATGATGTGACTCAGTTCTCTTTACCCTCTAAGTAAAACAAAATTTCTTGAAACCAAAATTTCCTTACTACATGTAATATTCTCATATTTTCTATTTTGTTTCATTATTTAGCCTGCTGGTCAAAGGCTACTGAAACTTGAGAGTAAGATAGAGGAGCAAGGGGAAATGTGGTATAGAGTGTGTCAGGTGGTAGGCCCTTTTTTCCTCTAGTTCCCATTCTGCCTTCTGAGGGAAAACTTTCTCCAGCACCTTAGGTCAATCACACCCAAGTTCCTTCTCGGGATCCTTTTTGCACATATGATTGGTATCTGACAGCCTTACTCATTTACACTGCACTTATTCAGCTGCCAAACTTCACGAACTGGAACCATCTGTTACTGAAGGGAAAACCTGGAAGTGAAAAGGGTTCAGCAGCAGTGAAAATGCCATCACAAAGCTCATATACCTCACTCTCTAGGAGGGAGAAGCTCTGGTTTTCCAATTGAGAGCCTTACAGTGCAGTGGTGCAACTGCATAGCAACTGATGTTCCTGATGATTCTGCTGTCAACAATATTTTTAATATACACTTTGAAGAAGGCAGAGGAACATATAATAGATGTAATTTTTTTTCTTTAAAATTGTTGAAAACAAATTAGCGCTTTAAGGAGTAAGTTACAATTATCTGGAAAACTACTTAGTTGGAAAAACTGATACAGAATGGATGAAGTATTAATTTCTGTTTTGTTCTGTGTTATATTATTATTATTTGGGATAGATGTCTTGTTTTACTAAGCAGACTGTGACTATCTTGAAGGCAGAACCACATTTTTTTTTTTTTTTTGGGGACAGGGTCTCACTGTTACCCAGGCTAGAATGCAGCTGTGTGATCATAGCTCACTGCTGCCTGGCTTCCTGGGTTCAAGCGATCCTGCTGCCTCAGCTTCCTGAGTAGCTAGGACTACAGGCACATGCCATCACACCCAGCTAATTTCAGCTAATTTTTTTTTTTAAAGTAGAGATGGGGTTTTGCTATGTTGCCAGACTGGTTTCAAGCCATCCTCCTGCCTTGGCCACCCAAAGTGCTGGGTTATAGGCATGAGCCACCATGTCTGGCTTTACTCAGACTTTTAATATTACAAGGACCAGACTTTTAATATTATTTTCCACAATGTATCTGGTACATAGTAGCTGCTTAATATGTTGGTTAAATAAAGAGTGGAGATTCAGTAAAGGGTGATCAGAGTTAGGTGAGATTAATCTGAGAAAGCCTACAAGTGACTCTTGAGCTTGATTTGAAGGTGGCACTAGCTGTGGATTAATAGAGGGGAAGGGCATCTCAGAGAGAGGATTGCCAACATGCCTTAATTTTATCAGATTCTAAAGTTCCTTATGATTACCTCAGCATGTTGCTAGACTAGCATTATTGTCCAAAATTTAATTATTAACCAACTTTATCTATCTTACTTTCTAATAAATTGTTTGCTTTTACTACTGATAGCCTTTTCAAAAAATTTTAACTAGTTTTATTCCTTTTTTTTTCTTGGGATGATCCAGATGAACTAGTTTTATTCCTTATCATAATTGCTTCAAAAAACATAATGATATGATCCTTTATCTTCCTAAGAAATATGCAATTATTTGGTTAAAATATAAGATTATTTAATCCATTATTCTTTTGACACGTGCATGGCCTTTCAATTGACAAACTGGGATCACTAAAGGAACACACTTGATTTAGTCTTTCTGCAATCAGAATATGATTTCTTGTTATCTTGCACAATACTGGGAACAGTGCATAGAGGGCGAAGGTTGGTCTACAGCCCTTAGGCCAGCAAAAATGAGGCACAACTGCTCCTCTGTGCAAATGCTCCTGAAATAACCTTGGAGAAAAAATATAAAATGCGGCCTTTTCTTTTACTACTTTTTCCTTTGTTTGGTAAGTACCTGGAAAAACTCCAAGAAATAATTAGTTTTCATAGTTAACTCTAATTGTTTAAAAACAAATGTTTCATTGAGACTAGGTTTTTGATTTGTTAGTTGAATCACTGTTGATTTTACCCTTCCTGGCACCAACCTTTATTTCTGCACTGTAGAGAACACAGTTCTTACTCAGTGCTGTGTGCGTCACCTGAGATCACAGAAAGAGGCGGCGGAACAAAATGACTAATGACCTTAATGGTTATTTTTCACACATTCAGATGAAATTAAAATATGTTTAGTGCTACATTCTTGATTTATTGTGTTTTTCCCCTCTATTTCCCCTCTATTTTCTAACTTTTATTTGTAGAAAATATGTTGATGAACAAAAATCCGCTCTTACTATAAGGTTTTATTCTACCAAGCACACAGTAAAAATATTGAAAGCTGCTTTCCATCTTTTTCATCTTTATACAGTTCCATCGAGCCTCTGTACCTTACCTATGGAATCATATTTGCCTGCGGCTGCTCCTTTGCATACCAGCCTTCATTGGTCATTTTGGGACACTATTTCAAGAAGCGCCTTGGACTGGTGAATGGCATTGTCACTGCTGGCAGCAGTGTCTTCACAATTCTGCTGCCTTTGCTCTTAAGGGTTTTGATTGACAGTGTGGGCCTCTTTTATACACTGAGGGTGCTCTGCATCTTCATGTTTGTTCTCTTTTTGGCTGGCTTTACTTACCGACCTCTTGGTTCCAGTACCAAAGATAAAGAGAGTGGAGGTAGCAGATCCTCCCTCTTTTCCAGGAGAAAGTTCAGTCCTCCAAAAAAAATTTTCAATTTTGCCATCTTCAAGGTGACAGCTTATGCAGTGTGGGCAGTTGGAATACCACTTGCACTTTTTGGATACTTTGTGCCTTATGTTCACTTGGTGAGTATGCTCCTTCACCTTCACTGATCATGAATATTATTATTTCATATAGAAAAACTTCTTTGCAGAGCAAGATAGGTCAAGTTAAAGTTGACCTCAAACATTATCCTGGTTGTAATTTGGGGATTCGTGAAATGAAAGTTCTCTCCAGAGAATGTCAACGTATCCATCAGACCACTAAACAGAGAGAGTATATTTCATAGTGTGCCTTTGGTATTTTAAACACCCTGCAAACCCAGCCAGACACGATGGTGCCTGCGTGTGGTCCCAGTTAGTAGGCTGAGGCAGGAGGATCACTTGAACCCAGGAGTTCGAATTCAGCCTAGACAACATAAAAAGACTCTACCTCTAAAAAGAAAATAAAAGTCCCTGAGCAAACACATTTTTTTTTTTTAAAAAAGGAAGTCTGAAATCTTGGAACAAATTATATTCGGTATAAAACATTTGATGGGTCTCTTTTTCTTCACATGGCTTTTATCAAGGACAAAGCTAGTGCTGAGATTTTGCTAACATCAGCAAATTGTTTTTCAACTGAAGGTTATAGAAATTAGGTAATTAGCAAAAAAACTATGACTTTGATACAAAGAAACATTACATCTACTTGTGGTACACTTTTGGGAAAATGGGAATTCTATTTAGAGGAATATCTGAGAAAAGTTACCAAATGAGGAAAGAGAGCTATGGTTTTATAGGAAATTAGGATTTCAAGTACTCAAGCAGTTTATATTATTTATTTCTATTTCAAAGGCAAAATTCAGCTTGGTAATACTGAAATAAGAATAATTAATGTCTAGGGTGGGGTTGGTGGCTCATGCCTGTAATTCCACCACTGTGGGAGGCTAATGCAGGAGTTCAAGACCAGTGTGGGCAACATAGGGAGACTTCATCCCTACCAGGGGAAAATAAAAGAAGGAAGAAGCAGTGTCTGAAGTATCTGCCCCTGGCAGCATTTGTTCAAAAGTGTTCATTATGTTTCTTCCTTTTTTCTTACTTTTGTGGCTGAAATGTATTTACAGTTCATCATAAATTATAAACAAAAATGGCATTGGCACACATATTCATATGTTTGTGAACTTGGATTTTTTTGTAACTTATAGTCTACTTTTGGAGATTTATACAATTTTTCTTTAGTTAAGAGTTTTGATGAAAGTTAGTAACAGCTCTTCAAAGAATTACCGAGCTTAAGAAATCAGCTAGTAACTGCATTATCAACATCAATTACATCAATTATTACTGTTCAGGAAGGAATTAGGACAAGGAAACATGAAGAGAGATGGTAGGAATGTCTTGCGTTTAAGAATAATTTTGATTTCTCAGTTTTCCTATTCTCTTCTTGCTAGGAGTTGAGGAGGCAAGTGGGATGAGCAACGAGGTGACATGGGAAAGGACTAGGTTTTAGTACTCTGAGCCACTTGGTATTTTCCAAAGACAGAGGTACTAAGTAAATTGACCCAAGATGTGCCTCCTGTCACACATGCAGGTACATCTTGATCTGATGTCCATTTTCATACTGTTAGGAAGGTATAGCTGAACCACCTTAAGCTAAGTTTCCTGGAATATAGATCTGTTGTGACAGGATTAACTTTACCAACCAACCTCTTTCATAGCTTCTGTAGTCAAGAAAACATTTATTGTGTCCTTTCTCAAAAACATGAGTAGAAATTCTTTTTCTCTTTTTCTTTTTTCCAGACAGGGTCTTGTTAAGTTGCTCAGGCTAGCTTTAAGCAATCCTCCTGCCTCAGCTGGGATCATCTTTAAGCAATCCTCCTGCCTCAGCTAGGTGCCATCCACCACACCCAGCTATTATTTAAAAAATTTCTCTTTGATACCACTACATGAACACACCCAGAGAAATCAATAACTCAGCTTTGCTAATACTAGACATTTACCAAAGGAAAAGTGGTAGATGACTGTCTAGTTTTTTTTTAGTTATATATTTATAATTTGTAAATTAATTTCACATGCATTACTTCATTTGACTTTCACAATAAACCAGTAAAGCAGATAAAATAAATATTAGTTCCAGTTTTACAGACTGAAAAACAGATCTAAATTAATAGAGATGTTAAGTGATTTTCCAAGAATTGCATGTCAGTGAACGGTAGAGTAGGAGTTGGTTCTCTTCTGCTGTGCTTATCTGGTAGCAAACTTAGTACACAGTCTTAATAGCATATTGGGCCATTTCCCTGGATGTGTCCGTCGTATTGGGGGGAAAATGAGTATGCCTAAAGAAATTTAATAAACATGCTATTTCTTCAGGTAAATCAAATTTCAGAGTGGAAGCTGAGTTAGACGATGTTATAGATACTTTTGTGATCAGGAGATGGCAAATCAGATGGAACACAGAACAATAAAGTCTCTGTTAACTCTGTTAATAAACCATGCCTTTTTTCTGCTCTCCCTTCTCCCAGGCATGTCTTCTTACAAAATGTGTTGGTATTTTTCATTTGGGATTTTCTCTTTCTCAACTCGTTATGGCACTGAATGCAGCACAGTAGAGGAAAGTTCAGATAGCTAACTGCCATACAGGTGTTTAAATCTCCTCTTTGGTCATGTACTGAGTTTGTCACTTTGTTGTAATTTAAGGTTTGAATTATGGATACTTCACCAGGAATGGGACACTAGTTGCCTCCTTCTACAGGGAAAAGGTGTCTCTTATCCTTCAAAAGACTAGTAAATAGATGATGTTCAATTCCTACTAAACACTTTATTGACTGTTGAGGGGACTTATATATGAGGCATAAATATTTGTTCTGAAGGAGCATAAACCTAGTACATGTAATAAAAAATGGCTATAGTTTATGAAGCACTTTTACATACATTTTCTTATTTAATATACAAAACAATGGATATCTGTGATGTATCCTGTTTATTTCATGGTTGGGAAGACTAAGGCCTTGAAAGATTAAATAACTTGCTCAGCCAGGCACAGTGGCTCACGCCTATAATCCCACCACTTTGAGAGGACGAGGTAGGAGTATCACTTGAGCCTAGCAGTTCAAGACCAGCTTGAACAACATAATGAGGTTCCACCTCTACAAAAAAATAATTTAAAAAATTAGCTGGGCATGGTGGTGCACGCCTGTGGTTCCAGTTACTTGGAAGGCTGAGGTGGAAGGATCACATGAGCCCAGGAGGTCAAAGCTGCAGTGAGCCATGATGGTGCTACTGCACTCCAGCCTGGGTGACTAAGACCCTATCTCTAAAAAAAAAAAAATTAAAAAGTGTTCTAAAGGTAGAACAGATTGAACAATTTTTAATTTATTTGTCTCCTCCTAGTGGCAGTCTTTTAAATATGGAAGATGAAGAAATAAAAAGCCAGGTGTGGTGGTATATACCTGTAGTCCTAATTCCTCAGGAGGCTGAGGCAGGAGGATGGCTGGAGCCCAGGAGTTCAAGGCTGCAGTGTGCTATGATTGAGACTCTGTCTCTAAAAAACAAATAATAAATAAAGAAGTAACTTGCTCAAGGTCACAGAGAGAGTGACTGATAATTATTAATGTAGTACTTTTATGTAAGTGACACTATTGAATAGTGGCTTAAAAGTGAATGTTCTGGGCCGGGTGTGATGGCTCACCCCTATAATCCCAGCCCTTTGGGAGGCCAAGGCGGGTAGATCACCTGAGGTCAGGAGTTCGTGATCACCCTGGCCGATATGGTGAAACCTCGTCTTTACTAAAGATACAAAAATGAGCTGGGCGTCATGGCTCACACCTGTAATCTCAGCTACCTGGGAGGCTGAGGCAGGAAAATCGCTTGAACTCAGGAGGCGGAGGTTGTCGTGAGCCAAGATCATGCCATTGCACTCCAGCATAGGTGACAAGAACCAAACTCCATTTAAAAAAAAAAAAAAAAAAAGTGAGTGTTCTGAAGTAAGACAGATCTGGGTTTAAATCCTGGTTTTGTTTCTTACTAGTTGCATAACTTTGGGCATCCTCTGTAAGCACCAGTACCCTCATCTATGGCGATAAATCTAATTTTGCAGAGTTGTGAGGATTAGAGAAAATGTATGTAAAATATCTGCCTCAGTTCTGGCATAAAAATGGGATATATTTTAATGTAAAACAATGCAATTGCCAATGAGTAGTTTTAAGGAATGAGACAGAAGATTAAAAGGAGAAAGATAATAATCCATTTGGAAAAGTGGTTTTAAAAAGTTTCATAGCATTGGAATTGGGCCTTGAGCATGAGATTTTGTGTACAAATCAGATATTTGATCAAATAGGGAACTAACTTATCAATTTAGGTCTTTGAAGATTCAGAAATACAATGGAGCGCTCTCATTGCTATGTTAGAAATTCTAAGATCTCATTAGATTGTACATGATGATTTGAGAGAGAAAATGTATGCTTGCTTTCAAAGTGAGGTTGGAGGTTTGATCTTGTTGTAGTTTACTTTTTGAAATGAAGAATTAGAATGCCTCCTGGAAGCTAATTCACCAGCTAAGTAGGCCTACCCACTTAAAATGTTTTTAGAAGGGTACAAATCTAACATCGATTTAAGTGAGGCCTAACTTTCTAAAAATGATTCCTAGTAACAGCTCCATCAGTTTTTATGAATTGCCCCTTCTTCCTAGAGTTGTTTTGTTTTGTCTTCTGGAATCTTTTTTTTTTTTTTTTTTTTTTTTTTTTGAGACGGAGTCTTGCTCTGTCTCCCAGGCCAAAGTTCAGTGGCAGAACCCGGGCTCACTGCAACCTCCACTTTCTGGCTTCAAGTGATTCTCCTGCCTCACCCTGCTTAGAAGCTGGGACTACAGGTACCTGCTACCATGCCTGGCTAATTTTTTTGTATTTTTAGTACAGACGGGGTTTCACCATGTTGACCAGGATGGTCTCGATCTCTTGACCTCGTGATCCACCCACCTCGGCCTCCCAAAGTGCTGGGATTACAGGCTTGAGCCACCACGCCAGGCCGAGACAGGATTTTGCCATGTTGGCCAGGCCCGTCCTGAACTCCTGACCTCAGGTGATCCACCCACCTTGGCCTCCCAAAGTGCTGGG